TATCCGCGCTTACGCCCTCCCCCATAGAATATCCAGACACTTCCTGGATGGGGTCCGAAAAGACGGGACCGGAGGATCGACCCGCATCGGCGATGCATCGGCGATGTATCGGCGATGCATGGGCGATGCGTCGGCGACGCCAGCGATGCATCGGCCGCGCCGGCGTGGAGGAAGTCGGGCCCCGCATCGAGCCGCAGTTCCCACGCATCGCCGATGCGTGTGCAATGCGGCGCGATCATGCGAACCACTCTGTTCCGACCACACGTGGAAGGCCCGGGTTATCGTGAGCGGTGGCAGCGATCTGGCGCCTGGGCATGCGCGCCTGCCCTCCAACGCAGCGCGCTCACCCTTGCCTGCCTCCGGGCCGCTACCGCCCTGCCGTTCCTGCGGCTAGGTGTGGCCTGTCCCCCCACGGGGGAATTTTGACGAAATCCGCCGATCCAGCCTATGAGCTACCAGGAGCCTCAGCAAGAGCATAAGCTCGGAGCCTACGCGAGAGCTTCAGCTCTGTTCGGGGGGGGTCGCCAGGGTGTCTTTGCCGGGGAAAGGGGGGGGGGGGGCGGTCCCACGGTTGGCGTTTTCTTCATGATTTGCGCATCCGGACCCCCCCCGGGAAGGGGGGAGGGGGTGGGCGGCGGTCTTTCATCTTGCGTTTTCTGAATGAACTGCGCATCCCCAAGATGTGTAGGGGGGTCCCAGGGACCCCCTCTCAGATCTAGCCGCTACCGCCCCCAGGACCCTCCCCTCGGAACCCTCCCTGGACCCCCCCAGGCCGGCTCCAGGCAGCCCCCCAAAGGAGAAGAAAGAGGACCAGAACAATCGAGGAGGGAAGAGGCCACAAAGGCGCGAAGATCACCGAATCCGGAGCCCCCCGGATCGGCGGCACTGGCTGGAGGTCATTTGAAAATTGAAAATAATCAAAAACAAGTACACAAAAAAACGTCCAAACAAAAAACGTATCCAGACTATTGTTTCACTATTTTTGCATATTCCTCCCCTGGAGGGACATGCCCGGTTTCATCATCCTTCGGCCGCGCATCCGCCACTGCCTGGCTGACCCCGTGGCCAGGCTGCTGCCCGCTCCGCCCGGCTGTGGTGCGTGCGCAGGCCAGGCAAAGCGCGTGTCCTCCCCGCCCCTGTGCCCCATCCTCTCTAGTGTGGAGGCCAATCCACAAGAAACCGTCCACAAGAAACCCCACCCTGAGACCCCAGGACGTCCATTGGGTTTTGGCGCGGGAACGTCACGCTTTCCATCACAATACCATCGAAGCCCAAATAACCCTGGGCACCCTGGAGGCAAGCAGAGTGTTTCTTGGCATGGGTTTCCAATGTAACGCCACCCTGGCGCTGTCTGGGCCGCCGCCGCGCGCCCCCAACCGGCGCCTCCAGTCCCCGCTGCACCGCCTCCGCATGTGTCGGGGACCTTGTGGTTGTTCCGGTCATAATTTGCTGCAGCCCACGCGCAGTGGCGCAGCCCCAGGCGGGCTGCTCGTGCTGTCCCCTGGACCTTGGTCCTGCATGCAAACGGCGCCGGCCCTCTGCAACGGACTTTTACGTTCTGGGCAACGTGACGGACCGCCGCACGCTCCCACTCCAGCAGCTCCGTGAGCCCTCTTGCTACTGTGTTTCCTGGCGTACTGGCCCACCTTGCTCTTCACGCTTCCAGCGCCTGCAGCCCTGGCTTCGGTCCCTGGGTGTGGCCGTTATGCCGTCCAGCGTCCAGGGCCAGGCCACTTCAGCCCCAGCTGACTGCCCCAGCGCGCTCATGCTGAAATGCTTTCGGCTGTGAGTGCCTTCCCGCTCGCCCCCTCTTGCAGCGGGACAATGAATTTGTCGAGCGCCCCGACAACTCGAGCGCCCGTACGGATTGCCTCTGCCATGCCACGCCGCAAAAAAAAAAATGTCGACGCGGCGCGCCCCTTCCGTACGCGGCCGTGCGGGCGCAGAGGTGCAAACCAACGACGCCCAGAAGGCCCCGCGGGCCCGCGCGCGCACCTTGACCGAGGTGCACACGGCTTCGGTAGAGCGGGGAGGGCCATTCCATCGCTGTAATCTTTATTCCCCGTGCATTGACTGTTTACGTACGTTTTTTTTCCCCAACGCCCTGTGGTGATAGGTCCTCGTTTTGAAGAGACAGCACCCCGCGTCTCCTTCCTCCCGCGGCCCCCTCGTCATCATCTTCATCATCTTCATCTTCATCTTTATATTCATCATCATCATCATCATCATCATCATCATCATCATCATCATCATCATCAGCATCATCATCATCATCATCATCATCAGCATCATCATCATCATCATCATCATCATATTTATCATCATCTTTATCACCATCTTTATCATCATCTTCATCATCAATTTCATCATCACCATTAGCGGCATCATCAGCATCATCGTCATCAGCACCAGCAGCATCATAATCAGCATCAGCATCAGCATCAGCATCAACAGCATCATCACCATCACAATCACCCTCACCCTCACCCACACCATTACCATCACCATCACCATCATCATCATCATCATCATCATCATCATCATCATCACCATTATCAGCAGCAACATTATCATCAGCAGCAGCATCACCGCCACCACCATCACCATCACAATCACACTCATCATCATCAGCAACATCAACATCAACATCAGCGTTCATCATCACCGCCATCATCGTTAAATCATAATCATCAGCATCATCAGCATGATCAGAGACATCAGCGGCATCATCACCGTCAGCAACATTATCGTCATCATAGGTAACAACATCGCAGTCATCATCACCAACATCCTAATCATCATCAGCATCATCATTAGTATTATTGTTATTATTATCATCGGCCTCGTCAGCATCATCATCATCATCATCACTATCAACATCATCAACATTACCATTATCATCATCACCATCATCATCCTCATCCTCATCATCATCATCACCCTCATCATCGTCAATCATCATCGCCGTCATCGTGATCATCTTTGGCCGTCATCATCACCACCATCGCCAGGGCGCTCCACCTGGGCCCCAGTGGCAGCACCCGCATGCGGTTCCACCCTCCATTTGGGTGCACCCCTCGCATGCTTCGTGGCCCCACAGGGAGCTCAACCGAAGCCCCAGTGGCAGCCCCTGCGTGCCACCGCCATCCCACTTTGTCAACTCCCTCACACACGTTTCGTGCCCGCACAAAAAAGAAATCCACCGAACACGATACTCACGACTGCGGTACTCACAGCTGCACATGGTTGGGGCCCCCGCCAGGCTACTTTGCCCTATGGTACTCCAGGATGCTCCGAAGTGGTCCAGAAGTTTCTGGCCTTAAAGTCGGGCATGTCCCCCTACAAGGGGATTTTCGGCGAAAAACAAAAAATACACCAAAAAGGTCAAAACACACTCAAACAATAGTCCCCGAACTATTTTTTTATTATTTTTGATTTGTTTGTTTGTATTCTTATATTTTTCGTCGAAAATCCCCCCGTAGGGGGACAGGCCCGACTGAATTCTGGCCCTGGCCTCGCCGAGAACAGAGCACGCGCCCGCGCGATGCCGAGGAGAAGGGGAGCACTCTTCGGCGGTGGACAAACCTCCCTTTCGCAAACCTCCCCTTCGTGAAAACGGCCCGGGACCGAAACCGACGGACCGGGACCCGCAAAAATGACGGCCGCGACGCCCTCTCGCGAACCGACAACGGCCAATTCCTTAATCGACGTGTCAGGGTGGGAGGTCTGTCCACCCCCGAATCGACTGCACGCAAGAGTGACCCTGGGTAAGAGTGACCTTTGGTGCGCGGCTTTTTGGGGGCCGCGGGGGGGACCAAACACGAGCGCGCGAGACGCAACTATCGCATCGCAATCGGTGATCGGGGGACCCCATTGGGCCCGCTCCAGAGGTCACTCCGGCGAAAGGTCACTCTTACGTGTAGTCGACCGAACTCTGGCGCACCCCCAATGAATTGCGGGCGCGGTCGCGCTAGGGGGGCCTCCCCGGGCGCCGCGCTGCGCGGCCCCGGAGCCCCCCAGGCGCGCCGCGCGTTCTCAGCCTCGTGTTAAAAATACCCCCAAAATAATCAAAAACTAATCCAAAAGTAGTCTGGGGACTCTTTGTTGAGCATGTTTTGACCATTTGGGGGTATTTTCGGGTATGTTCTATGTTTCGTCGAAAATCCCCCCTTTACTGGGACAATCCCCCGACGTAAGCCTCGTGTCCTCTTCCGCTCCCCCCCTCTCTTTCTGTCTGCCCTTTTTCCCGCCGCCGCCACGGGGCTTCGCGCGGGCGGCGCGGTCGGCTTTGCGACGGGCGAGGGCGCGCGCGAGATGCCACAGGAACGCCGCAGACATGGGCCGCGACGCGCGGGAGGCAAGGACGCCCCTGGTTTGGCGGGGCCGCCCCACCAATCATAGGGACAAGGACAGGCGAGGAGCTGCGCTGAGGCAAGGGGGGTCCACCTGGTGGTGCGGTCCCCCCCTCTCGCTCGAGACATCCCCAGGTGGTGTGGTCCCCCCCTCTCGCTCGAGACATCCCCAGTCTCTCGCTCGGGGAGGCATCGTGGACCTCCTCGCTGGAGGTGGGCCCCCTGGTTTTGGACGCCCGAAATGGGTACCGAAAGAACGGGTACAGTGCCCAACAGCAAATGTTGTCCCAAACCAACAGCGGCCGCTGTTGGGCAGGCGGCCTCCTGTCTCGAATGGACACAGGCCGCGGCGGCGTGGACAGCGAGTCCTGTTCAGAATGAACAGGAACTGCTGCTGGGCATTGTGCCCATTCTCTCCGTACCCATTTCGGGCGTCCAAACTGGTGGCGCTGGTATCGCTTCCTCTCCCTCCGACGGGCAGCCTCGACGGTTCCAAAAACAGGTGGCCCTGGCGACGCGCCGCGCCGCCGAAGCCCGCCGCGGAGCGGGCGCGACCCCTGCCGCACGGGAGCGCGGCCGCGCACGGGGCGGATGGGGCGCACGGGGGGGCCGCGCGGGGCGCGCAGGGCGCCGGGGGGGGGGGGCAGCCTGCTGCAGCTTGGCGCGGTTGCGCTCCAGCTTGGCGAGCGCCTTCCCGGCAGCCGCCCTCTGCCTTCACTCCTCGCACCTCCTCTGCCACCTCCACCTCCTCCTCCTCCTCCTTTTCCTCCTTCTTTCCTCCTCATCCTCCTCCTCCGTTTCCTCCTCCTCCTTCTCCTCTTTTCGCGCCAGGCAGCCACGAGCGCCGAGGCTGATGCGTGCCAACCTCCTCCGCCTCCTCCTCCCTCCTCCCTCCTATCTCCTACTCCATCCTCCTCCTCCTCCTCCTCGATCTCCTCCTTCTCTTCATCCTCCTCCTCCTACTCCTCCGCCTCCTCCTCCTCGTCCTCCTCCTCCTCCTCGCACGTCGCCGTGGCCCGCCGTTCGGTCTATCTTTGGCCGCTCGCGCGGTGCTTGCCTCTGGCACCTGCAAGGCAGTCGGCGACGGCCAAGATGGCAAGATCCCTTGATTCGGCAACAGGGTGTGGGATGGGCGGCTCCAAAGACTGAGGGGCGGACGAAAAGCAGATCGGCAGTGATGGGGGGCAGGGGAGACGGGCCAGAGGGATCAGCAGGGCCGAGACGGTGGATGGGGCAGGCTGGAACAGACTCGCGCTGCAGCAACACTTGGACCAACCCCCGCAGCCGCGAGCAAGTCCAGCAGTGCACGAAGTCATCCATGGGCGCCTCGGCAGCCGCGGTAGCCGGATTTGAGCACCGTGTCATGCACGCTCGGGAAGCTGCTCGCAGGCCGAAGGACTTCGGCGGCCTCTCCGCTGGTCTCTCGTAGCTACGACTCGCACGAGAATGCATGCACTGGGCTCAGTTGCACTTGGGCGGGCCAGCCTTGACGACCGCAGGCACCTGGACGGCCTCGGCAATTACCCGCATACCTTTTCATTCACATGATGAAGTCTGTGCCCGTTGTTCGGGAGCGGCCAAGAGGGGGGTGTCCAAGAGGGGGGGGTGCAAATCATGACCGGCGGCATGTGCGCGGCCCAGCGGGGGGGCCAGGGACGTAATGAAATAAGAAGAGGCGCCATGAAATCTGGGGAAATATCATGGCCCCCGCCATGATATCCACCCCCCCCTAGTCATCACCCCCCTCTTTTCCGCCCCCGAGTTGTGGAGCAAATGTGGAAACTGTTGCACATCGTAGTTGGCACTGCCCTTGCAGCGCCACAGACTCCCGCTCCTGGCAGCGCCTCTGCGGACGGCCTCTCCGTGTCTGGCCCGGTGCGGCCCGATGCCGGCACAGCTGGAAGGCGATCGTCCAGTTCCTCTTGAGCAAGCACGTGGGAGATCTTCGTGTCTACACCCTGCGAAATGCTTAAGAAATCATGGGTTCAGAAATTCATAGTCTCAGAACTTGAATAAAAAAACCCAACATTTCCATCAAAATCTTAAGATTTACATGGAAACGTTAAGAATAATCGAGACTCTGGCCAAAAACTTAAGTCTTCTTAAGCATCGCCTAAGGTCTACTGAGGATCAACGCCACTGCAGCTCAAGCGCTCGCAGACAAGTGACAAGCGGGCCAAAGAGCCGATTGCGCTGGACTGGCCCATCCCCGGTCTCGGCCGCCATTGGACGTCTATCGCCTGGCCCTGCCGCGAAGCGCATCAGACCTGGGGCTGATCTTCCGGGACACCGCCGCGGTGCCCAACCACATGTGCAACTGCCGTCACAGCTGGCCACTGCCGACTTCCAGTTTCCAGCGGACACGGCTTAATCTTGCAACGGCTCTTTCGCAAAAGGGAGCGACGAGGCGGCGGAATGCTCTGGTTGGGGCTTCGCCGTGGCCTCGCCGTATTTGTCTACACTCCGGGACTACTGCGGGACCACCATCCTGGACCAGACCGACCCCGGGTACATTGGATCAGGACGGCAGTCCAACAATGTTGGCGAGTTGTGTGTGCTATGTGCTGCTTTTTCTGGGTTCAAGAATTCATTTCATCATCCCCTTCATCCTCCTCATCTCCTTCTTCGGTCATCATCTAATACGATTCGGAGTATGCGGCCGGCGTGGCCCAGCGCCACATTCGAGGGAGGGCGAATGTTCGACTCGTGTTTCGGCTTCGCCACATCTACGACCAAATGGCTGGCCATAGAATCTTCCGCAAGATAGAAAACAACACCGTGGAGTTCATGAACGAGCGACCTAACCATTTGGCCACCTGTGACTGCGATGTGCCGAGCTCATTGGATCCTACTCTGTCTAGGTGGGCTTAGGTGGGCGTGGTTGAGCTGTTCGAAAAACGCGGGAGTTTCCCAGATGCTCGGGCGAAATCTTTCCCGACCGATTTCCAGGCGCGAGAGGCACAGCTTCGCATTCCAGCGTAGTGAATGGAGGCATCCACTCTGACAAAAAAAAGGTGGTTGTGGTGGCTGACCGAAGGAGAGTGACCGAGCATATGGATTCGATGCTCTTGATTTTGGGGCCCGTTCAAGACTTCAGATCGATGGGAGATGCTCGGGACAGGGCGCGGCAGGAGAGGGGGGAGACCGAGGCGAGGTAGGCGCGCTCAAGACGACGGAGAGGAGGGGGGGGCACAGGAGGAGAAAGGGACGTCTGGGCGAAATAATCTACAGATGAGAGAATGCTGACGGCTCGCTTGATACAAAGACATTCGGCGACTCCCGCGGGGCACTTCTCGCGGGCGGCCCGAGCGGCGCGGGTCGATCCTTTCGAGATGGGCCGGGGCCCGCCCTCGCGAGAGGCCGCGAGCCCGGGGGCGCGGTCGCCGAGGTCCGCGCGACTGGGCTCTGAAGTCATGGAAGGCCCCCAGACGGAAACTATGCGGCGCGTGCTGGCTAAGAGTCTCAGACCAGCTGGTTCGCGACCGTGATGGAATGCGCGCCTTAGCTGCTTGAGCTGGCTGGTCGTCTCCGCCGCGGCGCTAACATCGTCGGCGCGCGCGTTCGCCGCCGCGAGCTGTCTCCAGATTATACCCCCGCGCGCGCCGGCGCGCAGGCGGGGGGCGGGCATCCCAGGGGCGTCTCTGATCTTGGTCAAGAAGGGATGGCTGCGGATAGCGCAGCGAGGGCCGAAAGCAGCGCGTCCTTGATGATGAATCCATGAGAGAGAACGTGGAAGAGCAGCAGGGAAACGTTCTGGCGCATTCCGAACGAGAGCACGCCATGGCAAACTTAACGGACGAAGAGCAACAACGGCGGCGGCATCATAATGGACTCAAGCGCTTTGAAAATCCTCGCATAGGCGACAGTTTGGGCGGCCTGGCCGAAGACAAGGGTGCACAATATTGAGAAGGATAAAGCCGCGGATAACTCCATGCTCACCATTCTGGCCCAAGCGCCCAGATCTAGAAAATCCACTCCGAAGTTGCGACCCCGCGCGAAACCGCGCTGCTCGCAGTCAATGAACTCACCAAGACGACTGCTTAGGTGGTGGACCACGACTCCTGTCCACATCTGGTCTTCTCGTCTGTTCAGACAGAGAGGCCAAGTTCCCGCCGCCCGCGTCAGCGCCCCCCCCCGTCGCCCTTCCCCCTGTTCCGCGCCTGTCACTGATTCAGATAGACGACCCCCCGCGCGCGAGCGCCGCCATTGAATGCCCGCCAAAATGCTCGATCCAGGACGCCCGCCCCGACTAGATCTTACCCCGGGCGGAATGCGAGAGCCCGCGGCCCGTCGGACCTGGGGGCGCCGTCGACATGTTTGGGGGCGCCTGGCCCGGTCGGGGGCGGGGGATCCCGCGGACAGACCCAGGGGCCACGTCGAGCCAGATACTGATCAATAGATTGTGGCATTGTCCATGCGTCTCTACGTGCCGCAGACCGCGCCCCTCTGCTGGCCGAGCAGCTGCGGGACTTCAGCGGACTCGCGACGGCTCCGCCGCCCACTCGGGCCCCCATTCAGCGGCCCCCCGCCCCCCAAGAGGTGCCCGGAATCTGCCTCGGGCCGCGTGGCCTCGCAGTCGTCTTTGCGGCGAGGCCCCCGTGCTCTCGGCGTGGGAGATGTCTGCCGCTTCTTCCGTCTTGGCTTGCTCTCGGCGGGCCGTCGCTCGGTCGCGGCGGCCTCTGCAATCTCGCGCGAATTCGCGAGAGGGGGGCGGTCCGCGCCAGACTATCTGGCGAGTCTCTCTTCATTCCGAACTATCGCAGCAGCCCCCCCCCCCGCTTCGTTGGACACGAAATCAAGGGCGAGAGGGTCGGGGGGCATCTGTAGAACCCCCGGGCACTTCGGGCGCTGGCGCACGCGCGAGGGGGCGCTCTAAAAGTCGAGGCGGGACTCTGATGGGTGGCAGCTGGACAGCCAGGCCCGCGCCGACGCGCGATCGCTGACGCCGCGCCGACGCAAAACACCTGGGCTCTCGCGCGCCTCGCCCGACGCGCCGAGCAGGTCCAGGACTGGGCCGGTGAAACTGACGAACTGCCCGTATATCGCGGTGAACAGCCAGCGCTTGGAAATGTCGCGGCTTGGTCTCGAACCTCGGAGCTCCGTCGCGCCCCCGAAAAACCTTCGCGCGCGCGTGATCCTGCCCGCGACTGAATTTTCAGCGAGCTGAAGGTCGCGGGGGGGGGGGGGGGCGGAATCCTTCGGCGCATCAACTACATCCTTTTGTCGGGAGAGCAGGTCGGTGAAATTGCAGGCGCCCGCGCCACCCGCGAGCAGGGGCGCTGGGAAGGCCATGCATGGAGTGGGAGAGTTCAGCTTGGAAGTGCGAGGCAATGTAGTCCTTTTCTTCCCAGGAGAGCCCGAAGTGAAAGCGCGCTGAAATCGCTGGCCCAGACAGACGCCATTGAAAACCGAACCAAAACATCCATCGACCCCCCCCCCCCCCCCCCCCCCCCCAGGAACCCGAACTCGGGAATCGGTGCGCGGTGCCCTTTCGCCGAGGAAAGCGAAGTCGGGAAAGGACGTCGCTGCGTTTCAAGCCCGAGTAGGGCAACGACCATTTGGTGCATCTAGCACCTCCTTGCGGTGGTGCTAGCAAACCTCTCGGATTTCCATCTCCGACTCGCGGTTTACCTGCTGTGCGAACCTAAATCTAGGCACAACGGGCGTCCGAAGGGTCAGTACTTCCAGAC